AAATCAATGGAAGTGTAACTGATGTGATTCTGCAAGCTGTATACGGGATAAAATGGGAGTTCATAACCCACTTGAATCAAAATGTGAAATATGATATATCAAGAACTTTGTAATGTTTTGAACAACCAACAATAAAAAAATAGTATTGGCCAAATTATATTATTTATAATGAATATGTATGACTATATAACAAAAAATCCCATCATTATGTACAACTATAATGCACCCATAAAAAATGTGTTAGAAATCCAGATAGAAATGTTTGGCCAAACAGCTGGAAATATGGCCAAGCTCAGGGAAACTGTCCATTTGGATAGGTGGATTCACAAAAACACTAGCAGATAGTATGGAAGTCTTGCAAGTGCATGAGATATCTTAAAGGAATGTAGACGGAGAGGAGAAGAGGCACTAAGGTGAAGTCATCACCATTTTTAAGAGGTCTAGAGAGAAAGAGAAACCTACAAGGGATACTTAGAAAGAGCAAAGAAATAGGAAATAAAACAGAAGACAAAGGAGTCGAGAATTCCAGAGAGTACACAGAGGTCCAGAAGATGTCAACTGGAAAGTAAGCACTGGACTTTGCCAGGAGGTAGCCACTGGTGGCCTCAGCAAAAGCTGTTTCCGTGGATTGGTGAGTAGAGGACCTACATTTTAGTGGGTCCTGAAAAACTGTAGGAGATGAGGAGATGGAGATAGAAGAGAAATTGTTCTTTTTCGAAAAGTTTGGTAGGGTCTAACGGTGTCAAAACTTATAGATTGTGTCCCATACGTCACAAAATCAACCAACCCATAAATATTTATTATGCGTTTTTTATGTGAAAGCCATTGTGCCAAATGACTATGAGGGGAAGTTAGTCATGAAATAGTCCTTGCTATAAAGGATACAATAGGAAAGGAGAAAGTATGCAAATCCAAAAAGGCACTTCTAAAAGGAAGACCTTCAGAAACTCTTAAGTAATCAGATTCAATAAAGCACTTTTTAGAGTATATTGGCCTTAATCATCTTTTAAAAGTTGTGCCAAGAATATATGTGCATGATTTTAAAAACAAAGAAAATGTAGCTGGTCAAAAATTATAATAAAATAAATCTGATGTGTGAAACAGAAATAAGTGAGTCATTGACATTTAGAAGCATTTGACTAGTAATACAGCCCAAGACTCTTGTATTTATTCACTAAAAGGTCAAGTCTAGGGCTGGGGATGTAGTTCAGTGAGAGTGCTTGCAGAAGGCCCTGGATTCAATCTCCAGTATTGAAAAAATAAAAATAAAAAAGAATCAGGTTCAGCTGGGCATGGTAACGCACATGCCTGTAATTTCAGTGACTCGGGAGGCTGAGGCAGGAAGATCTCAATGTTTAAAGCCAACCTCAGCAACTTAGCCAGACCCTGTCTCAAAATAATTTAAAAGGAGCTGGGGGTGTAGCTTAGTGGTAGAGAACTTACCTAGCATGTGTGAGGCCCTGGGTTCCATCTCCAGCAACACTAAAAAAAGAAAAAAGATCAAGTTCAGTCTCTTTGAACATAATCATGTTATCTTACCTACCACAAGTAGATGACTATGGATTCAGTATTGTGTCTGTGAAGTATTACAACAAGGAAATTTCTCATTAGTAATTTAACAAAGTCAGCAGCAGACATTGGCATCGCCATCATAACTTTCAGTACAGAGGTCTCCTCTTCAGCCTCTTCCCCCTCCCTTGACTTTCAATATAGTTTTTCGACATGTAATAAAATACCCTCATAGTTGTAAAAATGTTTTTTCGCTGTCCCATTTTTCCACCAGCCTTCTCATCATAGCCTACTTCAGATGCAAGTGGATAAAAAGACCATCAGGTTTTTTTTTTGAGACTCTGCTATGTTGCTCAGGTGGGCCTCAAACTTGCAATACTCCTGCCTCAGCCTCAGTAGCTGAGATTATAGGTGTGCACCACTGCACCCAGCAGGAGTCTTTGCTTTTGCTGTCTCTCATGGCAGCATTCTATAATCCATGAGCCAAGTCTCAACACAAGCACAGAACCAAAGATAAAGAGGGACGGAAGAGTCGGACAGCACAACTTCTTCTCTAAGGAGGGAATGTTTCTATTTGCATTTATTTTATCCACAGTAGGATTACAAATAAGATGTCAAAGCTGACAAAGAAGCAGAAAGATCCTAAGCATCCTAGGACACTCCTGTATTTTCCTTTCTCAGCCCTAACCTTGAGTGGATACAATGACATTCATTCTGCCAAGCTTGAAAGCTGTGGTTTCCATGGCATGTTCTCCCTGTGTTCTGACAGGTGGTTCACACCAAGAGGAGGGTTGGGGAATCTTTTCCCTCCATATCACATTCCCTAGGAGAACAGAGATCTCCATAGTTGGTTGTCAAATTGGCTTCTCTCTGTGACCAAGGTCCAGTGACTCTGCAGTCTGACCAGAAAGTGAGCCTTCTGGGACAGCAGGGTAGGGTCAAATAAGACTTTCAAATATTGGTGCAATGAGCTGTAGGTTCATTTGTGAATTATATAATAACCTTCTTTCTTCAAGTGCCTGACACCAGATGGCTGCATAAATAAATAAGTTATAACCAAGTCTGTTCCAATGTTATGACTGTGGAATTTGAAATAATTCCTTTAATCAGTCATCCAAAGAGTTGAGTCTCCTTGGTGCCCTGACCTAGAAGTGGATATCTTTCACCATGACTTTTCAGAGTCCTTTGGTGATAAGAGATTTTCAGTATCCGTGAATATAAATTTAAGTTTTATTACTGAATTTTCAGGAGACAAATTAATGAAAACCTCTGGGTCTCATTTTGCTGTGGAAGTAACTACTGACATTTAAGCATTGTTGCAGGATTGGGGAGAAATGTATAAAGTTATATCATTATTTATTTTTAAAATGGAGATTTCCAAATAAACCAACCCATTAGATTTCAAAAGGGAACTTCAAAACTCAAATCTTCAACCACAGCTTTTTTGACACTGCCCGAGGTTCTTTATCTTCCTTTGACATTAAAGGATATCAAATACTTAGACAGGAAACTGTTCTATTTCTAGAATTATTAAGAACTCAAAGATGAATATAGCCATTAAACAAACTATAACTGACTTAAAATTGGTAACGAACCAAAAAAAAATCATTTGAACCTAAATCATGCTATTATAATAATGAAATATTTTGGGCATTGACAACTGATGGTACATTCAACTCCTGTATTACTGAATCAGTTGGCTCTTGAGAAAGTGGTTAAGCAGTCATCTAAGATGTTAGTGCAATAAACAATGATCTATTCTAGATCAGTGGTTGTAAATTCCAGTTATAAATAAAAACCAGGAGAAAGAGGCAGTTAAAAAATATGGATGTCCATGTCCTGCCCCGGAGATTCTGATCTAATTGGTCTATGGCGGTCTATTGCTTTAAGATCATATGTTGCTCTATAGTCCTCTGTTTTATCAAAATCGCTTTCACCCCACCCTTCCCATCAAAGTGATTCTAATGTGTAGTCAGGTTGGAAACTACTATGTCTTAGTCTCTTCTGGCTACTGTAACAAAATATTATAAACTGGGATGCTTATAGGCAAAAATAAAATCTATTTCTCCCAGTGGGGAGTCTGGGTCCAAGATTAAAGAGCTGGCCAGTTCTGTGTGTGGTGAGGGCCAGCTTTCTGCTTCACAACTTGCACTTGCTGTGTTCTCACATAGAGGAAGGAGCAAGGGAGGTCTCTGTGGCCTCTTTCATAAGAACACTTATCCCCTTACTGAGAGCTCTGCTCTCAGGACCTAATCACCTTCCAAGGCCCCACCTCTTAAGCTATTATTATGTTGGGGGTTAGGATTGCAAAACATTAATTTGAGGGCACACAAACATTCAGATCATAGCACTCCTGATCTAGATTAACTGTCTAGCTTTTTATGATACTGACCTCTTATTTATAGTTGATATAAGCCATACAGTATGACAGGTGAACTTGTAAAATATTTCCTTTATGATAATTTATTCTACACAGTATTTCTCTCAACTTAATGGTTTAGAAAATTAAAATAACTAAAAAATATAAAATAGCACCTACAAAGTGATTACAAGTAAAAATCATGGGTATGTGTAGAAGTGAGGTATAGATGAGCCACCAGATGACTTTTAAATGTCTCTAAAAAGTTGTTAGCAAAAGCTTTGGAGTAAAATCATAAAGTTTTCTATTTAAATACCTCATTGAGGAGAAAAGTTAAGTGACTTTCAGGTTTCACCTCATTTTACGAGAGGTATTGGTTAGGACCTATGTTCCTAGATTCTCATTTTAATATTCTTCCATGGAGATGAAACCACTTCATAGTGCATAATTACTTGTTTTAAATCCATCAGGCAATCAGCATACATGTGAACAAAATTGAAAAGGAAGAAAATAGTATCCTTATCCTCAAAAAGCCTATTACTCCACCAGCTAAGTAAAGTGAGAGACTGGTCAAGTTATTGATGTCATATTTGATGTTAACCTCTCCCATGTTACCCTGTTTAGACATGAGCTAGTGTAGCATTTGGGAAACAAAGGAGAAAATCTGCGGTTTTGACACATTAGTTCCATTTACTTTGCATTTCTGGGGAAGAAACATGTTGATGCCCTTACCCATCAAATAAGCTGACTTCTTGCCAAATGGATGTGATCATAGGCTAAGGGTGAACCTTCCAGTCAGGAAGCAAGCAAAGGACAAGATGACACCAGGCTCACTTTATGGGCCTTGTGCTTGATTAATAGCACTGTTAGAGATTTTAAAAGAAAAAGAGATGGTACTAAAATGATGTCATCTACTTAACTGGAGAAAAACTACTGCTGCATACCTGTAGTAATATCAAGGTTACAGCTGACAACAGATATCCTAGCTCTAAGAAAGAAAATTCATAATCTCATTCTTTTCCTCAATTATCTTAGTTTTTCAACCAAAGTTTGAAGTTATTCTGTTTTATTTCTGTTAAAAATCTCAACAATTTTATTTTAGATTTTTTTTTTTTTTTTTTTTTTTT